ACTTATTACTATTACCATTCTCACGTCTATTATATACTTTTATATATATAAAAAATAATAATAATAATATAAATAATTTCGTCTAAAATATGAAACGATTTAACTTTTGAACGATTTATTAAATTATTTTCTTTTAAATTGATTATTATTATTATTATACACCTTTTAATATTTAAAATTTGATTAATAATAATAATAATAATAAAAGTAAACCATAAAAAGCAATAGCCATTTTAGTTATATAAATTCCTTTACACCTTATCGTAAACGCGTATTTTTTTTTTTTTTTTTTTTTTACCCCCTTAAAAAAAAAATAAAAGTAATCGTGGTACATTTCTAAAATGAAACCTAAAATAAATAATTACGAAAAAGCTTTCTATTTTTTTTTTTTTTTTTTTTCCTCATTTCGACATCAAAGTCGAATTATTGGCCGTTAGAACATTGACCGGAAGGTTCGGTACCAAAGTATCTGTCACCGAAATTCCCTATCCCGGGAAGAACGTGAAATTTATCATTGACTTCAGGATCCAGAGCGGAAGTTACTATTTTCACCTGAAATTTATCGATCGATCGCACGTGTATTACAATGTTTAACAATTGGTAAGGGATTTAAGACTATTTCCAGAATCATACCTTCGGAAAAGCGTATGCCACCGAGTGCACTCCTATTTCGGCCATGAGTAACGAAACTAAAAGTATATTTTCTTCAGGAACATCGTGATCGAGTAAAATTCTAATTGCCATAATGGCGGCAGCTCCGGTTGCCACGGTGGCATCCATTAAAATAACTTTATAATCTTTTATGTCTTTCGGAAGTCTTAGATAGTAAAGTTCCGGTTCGCATGTTTCTTGATTGGTTTGAATTAATATTTTACCGATTCGAATGTCTTTACATACATCACGTACGGCTTGTTCCATCGTTTCACCAGCTCGCAGAATGGAAACGCCACAAATTTTTGTCGAAGCACATCTTTTACCCGCGTAAGAACTTCCCTGAAATTTTTTTAAAATTACATTTTGTTAATTTAAAACCTAAATTAAATTAAAAATTTAAAATTTTTTTCATCTTACCTGGGGCGTTTCCACGTGAATTTGTTCAAATGGTAACAGTGATAAAGAAAATTCAATGACTAGTCTGATTAGTCTCTTAGAATAAAATATAAATTCATCTCTTTGAGTTTCTTTATTTCTAATAAATGTGTGAAGGCCTAATATTTGAGGTGTGCTTGGCAACAAGTGTAAAGACTTGGGTAGTGGTTGACCTATGTAAGAGCTCACAAGCTCTTCACGAAGTTTAAAACCTCTCTACAAAAAAAAAAAAAAAAAAAAAATTATTATGTTTTACTCGAGATAAATTTTATTGATGATAAAATATGGTGACATACCAATTGTAATTGTGTATGAACGTGGTGTACAATTAGCTCTATTGCAACAGTGTTCTCTCCTCCTCTGGGTACAATCAAATCGGCATGAACCATACTTGGAGCGATATAAAAACAAAATGCAGGTTTTACCATATCCATATATTGCTTAAGAACGCCTTCTAAATCGCGTTTTCTTGTTGATATGTCACGTTCCAACCTTCTAACCAACCTCACATCTGGATCAGTATCAACAAAAACTTTCATATCTAACATCTGGAGCAAAATTGTATAAAAAATTTATGAAAAAAAAAAAAAAAAAATAGAACACGATTATAATTTTTTTTTTTTTTTTTTCTTAAAAAACCTAAAATTAAAGTAAAAAATAATGACAACAAATATTAATGTGTATTTCATAATTTGTTAAAAAATTTGTTTTTATAATTATATTTAAGTATGTAAAAATTTTCATAAAAAGATTCGTTTTTAAATATTAATGATGTTTTTTAAATGGTGTTTTACCTTGTGCATAAAATAATTAATAGGCAAGAAGATACAAAGGATATTTCTTAACAGCATTTACATCAAAAAGAAAGGAAAGATTACATTCCTAAAGAAAGAAGAGATTATTGAAAACATTATTAATTATCGTTAATACCCATTACAAAAAAAAAAAGCTTACATAGATTTAAAAAAAAAAAAATTTTTTTTATCTGCAAGAAATTTGTGTTAACTAAAGATTAAGAGTTTAACATATCGAACTAAAAAATTTGAAAAATTATCATTTTCAAAATGATAATTAAAATGACTTTTGCTCATTTCTAATATTTTTAATTTAAACTTTTAAAAAAAAAAACATACCTTTAAAACATCGGGATGATAAAATGCTAAAATTCCCTCGAATATCACTACATTTGCTCCGTACATTGTTTTAGTCTGAGCTTGCCTAGAGTGAGTAATAAAATCATAAATAGGAACTTCCACTTTTTTTCCTTCTTTCAGTCTTTGTAAGGTCTGTATTAGTAAATCAAAATCAAATGCATCAGGATGATCAAAATTATATTCATTCCTAGCAGCCAGCTCATGCTGCTTCTCATTAAGTACCTGAAAATTTATATATAAATAGAATTAAATCCTCTGAGCTTTTAAAGTACACTATATTCATTTATTATGTCAATGGATAGTGATGAATACTAACTAAATGAGTGACCTATTTAAGTTTATAGTGAGACATGAAAAAATTTTTCAATTAAGTTTTATAATAATTTACTTTATAAAACGAATCCATACTCAAAAGTGTGACCCATGGAACACCTAAAGACTTAATT